ACACATCTGGATTCAGGCAATGGGAAGTAACCCCAGACTGAGGACACAGGTATAACCTGCTTGTTTGGTTTCCATTTGTCCTGGAGACCTGCGTATACCTGCTGACTGTCTCAAATATATCTTGCACTGGCTTTTCTCTGATGTGATTTCTCATCATGGTTTGTGGTGCTGTTTGTGTCTTTCATTTTTCCTGAATCTGGTAATTAAAATTGTAAGAGAGGAAGTTTGCTCAGAACAACTCAAATGGCTACATGCAAAACTGATTTTTTTGAGAGCAGTTTCAAAATACCCTGTCTTCTAAAAACCTCTTTTGTGATATGTTGAAAAAAGTAATCAAATTATCATCTGTGCTGTCTCATCTATCAGTTTATTGTAACTCATATGGAAATAACCTCTGCTTATTTGACTAAAATACCCCACTTAGATACCTGGTATTTTTAACAAAATAATTCAGATAGGTAGTCAACTATAGGAGAAGTTGTTGGCTAAAGAAACAACCATTGATTCAACAGAGAAAAAAGAAGAAAATGCTTGCATAAATTAAATATATTAAAAAATATCTGAACATTGTTTTCTGAGGATGTCCCAAGATTGATGCCCTCTGCACATTGAAGAGATTATCAGAGATGAGATTAGATGTTCATGTAATTCAAGAAATTGGACAAAATATGCTTTCTATCTTTCAATATCTTTCAACCTTCTCTGGACTGAAATGCAAATAAAATTTCTGAGCCTTTCCCATTCCCTAAAAGGGATTGAATAGATGAAATCAGCTTCCGTTTAGGGGCAATCAGTCTCGACCTGCTCAGTATGGCCTGTGCCAGTGCTCCTTGTAACAGTGCCTGTGCTGAGCACACCAAACCACCCTTTCTTTAAGAGAGTCATTAACATTTCCTATCTCTCTTTCTTTCAGTTCAGGGCTATTCAACAAATGTAGATAGCTTTCTTTAACATTGATTTTAATACAGTAAGGATTTTAAATTGCTTGAGCTGAAAAAACCAGACGTTTTTGTAGATGAGAATGTCTTCCATGAATCTAAATTAAAATCACTTATACAAATGAATTCTCTATTTTATGTAGCATTAATTCAAAGAAAGCACATGACACAGAGATTAGTATTCAGGAGACTTCTTATTTTATTGTATAAAAGTAATTACCTTTTAAATACTATCCAAATTAACATTATAATATTCCTCTGAGATTATACATTTTAAAAGCATAATATAACTCTGTACCTAATACAGAAGAACCATATTTCCTTTTCTGCTAAATTAGTCTGCTGTATAAATTTGAATAATTCTCAATGCAAGTGGCAGCAATTCTCTTTTTTACAAATAAGACTCATATTACAACAAAAGACACTCTGTGTTTTCAGCACAGACCACTTAGAACTTGAAGAGCTTCATTTCCTGTATTTCTTAGTGAGCTACTTGTGGGACATAATCTTCTATGTTAAATGTTTTTATGTTTTACTAGACCTCATCAAGGTAAAATATATGACCGAAAATAGAGTTGCAACTCAATCCTCTAGTGACTTTTGCACGCTAGAAGTCCCAGCTGACCGAAATAATATATAGAATTCACTTTTACCTATTGAAATTATCAAGAACATCTGACTGGTTTTGTATTGTACATAGAAATGGTTTTTGTGCTTTCACATAAATTTTTTCATCAGTGTTTCTTGTGATAATAAGAAAAATTTTCTTATTTTATCATTGCATTTATTTTTTGCTCAGGTCTGAAGCAAATTAATCACTTTCTCATATGAATCAAGCTAGATAATTTAGCAATAACTTTACAGTAAAATCAAGGGGACAGCTAGGAAAAGGCTTTAAGTTTTTTAAAGAACAGATCAACCTGGACAAAGAACAGGTAATGAGGGAAGGGCAAGAGAGACATAATAAAGGTGTAGTAGGCTGGTCCACCAAATATCTCAGTGGTCTGTTCACCCCAAGAACATATGGGGAACAAGACAGGCTGGGGTGGATAGTGAAAGATCAAGGGGATTGCACATTTTTTTAAAATTAATTTTATTCATTAAAACTGACAAATGCAATGATATCTATCATAAGGCAGCCCTGTGAAAGTACTGTCACACCCCAGAATAAGATGCCAGAAAGACATCTTCTGCAGATCCAGAACAGTGAGTATGAGCCTTGTTTCTGACATTATTCACTCTGCTGGTTTTATATCTACAGCCTGGGGACTTGCATTATCTCAGTGTGAGGCAGGTTTGTGTGCTGCCCTTGTAGTACTGGCTGCAGGAATTATTGAAAGCTCAATTCCTTATCCCAAGAGGTCATCCAATAACTTGACTTCTTTTGCTCAGCCCTATTTTTTTCTCTGATCCTCTAAAATATTGTATGCATTATTTGCTATTATTGAATATGTCCTTAGCCTTGAGTGACTTCTAGTTACTGCACAGATTAGCATGTTGGTTTGAGAGGGGGCAGACCTGGCAGCTACAGCCAGAAAAAAATGAGCTTCATCTTGTATGACAAAGCATCAGTATTCTGTAGTTCCCAATTTTCTCTGAGTTTTTTATGTGTCTGAAAATTCCTGGATGAAAAACACTTTATGGAAAGAAACAGGTAGAACTGCAACTTTATTAGGTCCATGATGCTACAACCCATCCTAAAATATCCTCTAATTTCTGCACAATTCTGGGAATGTAATAGTATTAAAAGAAACAGATGTTTTTATCAGGTAATATTAGTTTTATTGCCTTCTTTTCATGAGGCAGTACCATTCTAAAATATGAGAGATGAATTTGTGTGTTATGTATCTGTATAGTTATATCTAACTAGAACTGTAGCTCCCTAACAGCTCTTTCTGATTCTTTTGCCCTCCATTAAGTTTCTCCTAAAACACGTCTTTTCACTTAAGCTTAAAATAATGACGTTAAAAAACCCAAAAATTTTCACAGAAAAATTTCATTGGCAGCATTTTTTTATTTGAGTGGGGGTTTTAAACCTTCAAACTATTCTCATGACATATAGTTTTTCCATTTCACTTCAAGTTAAGGTTTTGGTACAATATTATGAACAAGGAAAATGACTGTCTAATTCATCAAGGTAAAATTGATTCATAGCCCTTGTGAAATGGGTATGCAAGTGAGACTGTAAAGCTTGAAAATGAGTTTCAGAGTATGACTAGTGCCCTTCATTTTAAGGTCTGGGTTTTTTAAAAGAAGAAACACCTTTTTTTTTTTTTTTACTGTTACATTTATGGATCTATCCTCTCCCTTTCTCATTAGGTTCAGTTATAATATTATCTGCTAGTGTAGTTTTGCCTTCAGCTGTTTCTCTGAATGCATTCTCATGTAATGCAACCAGAAATGGTCCATTCGCCACTGACAATAACTGTCCCATTTCCTGTTAAATACTTAAGGCTAACCAAGTAAAAAGCATTTCTGAGTCATTCCATTGGGGAAATAAAGCAAATCATAGGACGCATTTTGCTTCAAATGCAGAGTTCATAGTGATTAGTTTTATCAGTGAAATACTGAAAAGAGCCTTGCTGATCTACTACAGTGAAAATATGATACTCTGGTGCTCTCTTGTGTAACCACAGGAGTTATCTTAGGGTCTCAGGACAGTGTGTAGAAGATGAGTTAGGCTCTCTGTTCTAGGTTTTACATAGGCTTAACATGTATTGATTTGCTTCCAGTACTTATCTCTTGCCAATAAATGAATTGGCCTGTCCTGATATGCCTGCTGACTGTTGTGAACTTGTATGTTAACTTAAACAAAGGAAATCAAAGCCATGATGCCACGTGGAGTCAGTGTGTGATTTACCAGCCACATTTTGGTTAAACTGCAAGTAGGAGACCATGTTATCACAAATCACACAGCTATGGAAATAGGGTCAGTGCTCACTGAGATGTACCTTTAAGGAAGATAGCCTTTAGGAATGGGATGTGCCACTGCCTTGTGGATGGTATAACCATGAATAGTTTAAGAAACTCTGTGGGGAAATGAATACGAGAAGCTCAAAACAAATGTTCAAAGATATATTTTAAAAACAATTTCTTGAATCAATTTTCCCCGGGGCAAATGTACATTAATACTTGCCTATTTGATTTTTGTCAAGCCAAAGAGATCTATTTTAATTATAACAAAAAAATTGGCAGAAATAACACTTCTTAAACAAATTTTTTAAAATAATAAATGTTTTAATTCTCTCTCTAGCTACCCAGTAAAACAAAAAGCAAAGTACTATGGACATTCTCCAGCCTTTTATACTTATTTGAGTTGAAATGATAGAAATTTGTAAATTGGCAGGTCATGAAAATTACATTAAATCAAAGCAATCATCTTTGTAAATTAGCTGTGGTGTAATACATGTGCATTCTAATTCTGTCCCTTAACTTTCATCACAGCATAACTGAAAGCAGCCTTTTTAAAAAGTTTGGGAGAACAAACCACATGTATGTTAACAAGTAACAGGCATTTACTTAGTACAATAGAATGTTTGAATGTTTTTACAAAAATTGGTCTTTTATTGTTGTTGTTTTCAATCCCATTCCAGGTGCGTGGCATCTCTAACACAAGCCCTGAAAGCATTCATAGAGCCAGCATTTGCCTGAAAACCTCTTTTTGTAATGCACCAAAATACATTCAGTATCACTGAAAATCCCTGAATATTAATACTAATGTTATGATCCATGAGCATGGTGAACATATGAATACTCTTCTACATTGTTTAATGTGGTAGAAATCTGTACAATCTTTGAGTTTTAGTTGCATGTTTGTTTCTCAACCCTGTGTGCCAAACTCTTATTGCTGAAATGGCTTGGCTTTCTCAGGCAGAAAACTATTTTCATTTGTGTATAGCAGCACTTTCCTTCATAACAAACAAGATGTGGCTACTTCCAACAGAAATGTATTAATGTAATGTATCGAGCTCATGGAGTATTTTTAGCACATTTCCATCAAAAGAAGATGAAGTATGTTTCATAAATCTATCCAGATCTTTAGAAGCCAACTCTTCATTTTCTTCTTCCTGTTCTGGCTTGGCTTTCTCTGGCTGCTTTAAAGCACATTTGGTCATGACTCTTTTTCCCTGGAGAAATCAGAACTTCTCCTGTATTTAAAAAAGTGGATGAATTAGATGAGAAATATCCTGGAGCAACTAAAATTTCTGATCCATATACCACTGAAACATTTCTTAAGAGGCACTTAGATCATGTCTATAGAGAAGCTAGGGGAAAGTGGAGAATTCTGGGGGCCTTCAGTCCTTCATACTCATTATATTTCAGGTTCTTGTGAGAACTGAGGAAGTTCCCAGTCCATTTTATGCAATTCAGTGTGAAAAGCCCAAAAATATTTTAGAAAATGTGGGTGGTTTTACTGAGACCCCTGCATTTGGCCCAGCCTTGCAGCCTCCGGTGGCAGCGCTACACGAGCCACTGCTCACGGGGACCTCGCGCGCTTGAGAGAGGGAGGAAGGAGCCAGAGCAATAGTGAAGACTTCTTCCTCAATTTCATAAAATTGTCTGCAGACAAATAACGACTGCAAAAGCTTTGCGTGGAAAATACAAATTCCTGCCTCTCTTCCCAAGTTTGTTGAAGGGAAGAAACAATCTTCTACAGCAACCAAGCTGAAATGTTGTAACACTTGAGATTGCAAGACACGTTTTCAGGGCATCCCATGTCCAATTTTGCTTGGATGTAGCATGCAGCAAGGTGCTGTTTTGTCTTTTTATAGCCTCCCTGTTGAAATCAATCACGGAATTATTCATATCTTGGATGTATCAGGAGCAGGCATTTTTACAGACAAACCTGCATTCTCACTTATTTCAAATATTTTATTACATGAAAACACATCTTTGCAAAAATTGATCCAAATTAAAGGATGGCAGGTAATTACATTCAAGTTCAAAATTAGGTATAAAGTAAAGATAAAGATATCGTCAAATGTTATGTTTTAGCTAGTTGTGGATTTTTTTTTAAAGCCAGAAAAAAAATTTGGACTTTATATAATTTACCGTAAGAAACGTTATTGTCTGTTAGATATCACATTAATTGGATGAGCAACTTTTAAGAAAATACATGGAAAAAAACCAGTGGTTTATTTCATTATTATGGCTAAAAGTTTGCTTTTATAAATCATTCCAGACCATTTTAGTGCTGATGGTTTTTAGGCTGTTTTCTGGGCTCACAGGAGATTATTTTGGAAAGAAAATACTAATCTTAAAAAAAAAAATGTTATTTTGTAGCATTAACTTTATGCATCTAACTGAACATTGGATTTTTTTTCTTGTAATGACAAGTAAAAGGTTCTCAGCATGATTTTCACTTGCTGCATTTACTTCTTTTTTTGAAGACAGAAATAAAATTTATGGATTTGTCAAGAATACTTACTGTATACAAGCCAAGAAAAAAAATAAATATTCTGGAAGGAAGAGAGAGGCTCTTTGAATGTTTGCAGTGAAATATCCCAAACATTTCAAGTTCTCTGTATGTGTTTCTCGCCCATGTTACTTTTATTTATTCCTGTTATTTCTTCAGTATCAGGATAAATATTTGGACTTCTTTAATGCCCTTTGCTTGGAGAGGCAACAGATACCTTGAGTAGGTTCTCTATAATATATCAGTGCACGGAAGGTGAACATTCTCCTTACAGCAAACACATGCCGTGTTTAATAGACTGCAAAACCACAGCAACTTGCTCCAGCGTTCGTTAGAGAAAGTCTCTATTAATTGAATATGAAAGGAAAAGTCCCTAAAATTGTTGGCAAGTAGCTCTCAGTTCGAAAACATACCATTAAGGTATTAATTTTTGTATTTCTACGAAGCACCTGTAATATTTTGTCATTGTGCTGTTTCAGTCTGCAGATTACAAGAATAAGTTTTACTTACTGGGTGGAGCTGTTTTGCTATTGCAACTATTGCTGGCAAGTAGATGTTCATTTAATTTGCCTAATTTTGTCTTTTCCTTGCAACCATCTTCAGGATGATAGATTTGACTGAGGAATCTCTGCTGTTTTAACACAGAGCTGCTGAAATCCTGGTTAGTTTGGCCAAAGATGCAAAGTTTTCTGAGACAACAGTGAGCTTATCCAGATGCATTCTTCTGTGTTTTTCCATGCTTTAAAACACAGATTCTCCGGAAGGGCTGAACTAAGCGTACTACAGTGGCTTGCTTTCTCTTCTCTTGCAGAAGAAAATAAGTATACTGTAAACAGAATTTTCTGGAACTAAAAAGACCACACAACTACTGAATTAATGAAATATTGTTGGTTTTGACTGAGTAGATAGAAAACTAAAAGCAAAATATTTATTCAGTCTGGTATGTTGGTTTATAAAACTGCATGGTCTCTTCTGGAAACTTTGATACATTCGTATGCTTTTTTTCTGAACTAAATTGACTGGTTCTATGAAAATGATCACAAATGACAGAAAAAATTTCAATCAATAAAGTCACAAAGTTATAAATCATCAAAATATTCTCTCCAACAGCAAACATATATTATTAACTTAAGAAAATACATTATCTCAATGGGTTTTCTTTTGCTTACAGCAGTGAAAAACGAACCTGGGAATCATAAGAATCTTTTCAGTTTTCAGCAAATAAAAGCCATTCTGCCCTTTTGGAAATATGACTTTATGAGAAGGAATTTGGCAATACAGCAGAGCAGCTGGATAGTGAGTGTGGGGAAGGACAGGCCCACAACATGTTTAGAAAGTGGGTATAGAAAGCAGTACTAATTCACTTCAAACTCATGCTGAAGCCGCTCTTTAGCAGCAATAATTATTTAGAGATTTGAAACAATGAAGAGGGATATAAGTTTGGTTTCTTAGGCTACTTTTAAATTTACTTACTTGAGTCCGTCTCTTAAAAGAAGTAAAAATCTAGTTCTCACAATTGTTACCTCCTCAGTCTTTGAAATAAAGAATGTCTTCTGTTCCAGGATATTAACAATTTTGCACATTAAGACCATTCTAAATTTTCTCCCTTCTCTCTCCCTGTGTCTTCCTGAGCAACACTGTTTTAAAAGACAAGAACTGATTCTTAAGCAAACTGTGAAGAGGATTTGATGACACATTGATCTTGCACATTTTCTGAGAATAGTGTAATTTGAATAGTATTTCCTGAAAGATAAGAAAAATAATATGAAAAATTAAGGGGAAAGCAAGAGAACAAACAGCATTGCTTCCAACACCACCTAGTTGTGTAACTGCAGCATCTTGGTCAGCAATCAAAACACTTAACTCAATAACGTTCTTCTAATGATGGTGCGCTGCCTGGAGCAGTGGTTGCCTGGAAAACCATTTTCCTGCTATAAATCAGGGGTGAGGGAGTGAATGGATATTGTCTGCATTACTTACAGTATTAATTTGATAAATAATTCTCTCCTGTATGTCTCATTGTAGATTTATTTCCCACTCTTCGACACATCTTTCTGCAGGTGGTTCTAGCTAGTAAATCTCTGAACAGAGCATGAAAGACGTTTTTCTTTTCATGGAACTGAAATGTGAAGCAATAGATGTATAATAATAAGATATTATAATCAATTCACGTTTTACTACTCTGTTATTCCTATTATTACCCAGTAAGACTCCTACTAAACAGAGCAATTTAGTAAGTGCCAATACTGTGTTACAGTATTAAACCTATGGGCTGGTAAGTGGCAAGAGTCTCCCTCAGAAAAGCAGTATTAAGTGAGCAGGAGAGGTACCGTTTTGACAATGTATTGATACTGCCACAAATCTTTGAGTTTTATTTGAACAAGGAGGGAAAACACCGTGGGAAATGCTATGTGTTGTTTCTGCCCAGTTTTACTGCAGGTTAAGTGCTACCATGAAATGGGAGTGGGGTTTACAATAGCACATTGTATATTTACAAAGGTAGTTGTCAGCAGGAACGGCAATCAAGAAGTACGGTCCTATGTGGCACTTCAGAACATCTAAGCAACAGTTACTGATTTGACTCTGGGTAATTAACTGAAACCAAAGGTGGGAGGGTCCAAGGTGAGCAGGAAAGGCTGCAAACTGGCCACACTAAATCGTTACCTCAAACTCTGGTCCAAGAGTGATATACTGAGGAGATTTATTCAGTCTAAATCTATTAATCTGAAGCCCTGTTCATTGAGGAAAATTGACATAAACGTGGTGCATATGAGCAGGATGAGAGAGAAGGAAACAGGGGGACTTCCTGGTAAAGTACAATCTATACATTTGGTGCTTTATTAATGGTGTCAGACATGCTGTGAAAAGACTGTTTCAAGTAAAGGAGGCTCATCCAGGACCATCTCATCTGGAATTCCTTGAGAGTTAGTGTTATTTTTACAGATAAATTATAAATAGGGTATTGCTAATACCATATAATGAGCTGTGTAAGAGGAGGAGGGGAATGGTTTCTGTGCCTTTCAAGCTTTGCTATTTTGCTTTTATTTTGGCCACAGGTGATGTTTATCTTGGGTCAAATGTGCTTGTGATACTGAAAAGTGGACTTAAGGAAGGATCTCTTACATAGTTGTGACTAAAATTCCTTTTAAGGAACTGCCTCACTCAGTGGCTACTCTCAAGCACTTTTATACACACTTTAGAGGTGAACAAAGAGTTGTATAAAGTAAACAAGGTCTAATTGGCATGTTGATATCTAGATAATTCTGGCAGCAATTGAAGATCTCGTGCTGCAGCTGAAGGCTGTGACTGAGTAGCCACTTATGCTGGATGAAGAGGAGGTCTAGATGCTGCCAGAAGCTGCACAGCTACTTCCTGATTTCTTCAGCTCCTAGCCCAGGCTATGGTAACCACTGCATTTCCCAGGATCACCTTGGCCATTGGTCCCATTTTCCTGCCACCTCCACCATCATAGTGGCTAGAGACCAATTTCAGAACTACCAGCTGGTAGGAAGATGGTCTAGGACGTGCAGCAATATGACTGAGGTTTCTAATCAGAAACACTGAATGTGGGTCCTGTAGCTAATAAAAAAAGATGTCTTGAGTTTCCCCACATGAAAAAAATTCATCTGGATATAAGGCCAGTTCTGCACTATAGTAAAAGGGCAATCCTGTTCTCTAGGATAACTTTTTCCATGCTGTCTTGTATTCCAGACTGTACTGCCCTGTGCATCTAAGGAACAACTCCAACCTTTCCTGTCAAACACTTCAACTTACACAAAGTGACATCTACCTTCATAGAAAACCTGAGATTGTCAAATATTGTAAGATGGCATACTCTGTAGTTAATGTGGGACTTCTCACATTTCAGACTGTGGCTTAAGGATGAGATAGCTGAAATCCTCCAAACCTCCCAGGAGTGGGGTTGCAGAGTGAGCTGTCACCAGCGTTCACATTCTTCTCTGACTACAATTTATGGATTTAGACAACATGAACTGCTTCTTAAATAAGAAAAATTGGCTTAGATTTCCCATCAACAGATCTTACCTAAGGTCAAAATTCTCTTCATGCTGCTATTAATTTTTTTTTTTTTAAATAGATTTTTGTTAAATCCAGAGTAGTGGTGACCTACAGAGCCCAGCTGTCCTTTAGGCAGTGAGGTAGCAACAGTCTCTTCACTGGCATAGTACAAGCATATTTTAGAGAGGTTTGTGTCTTTATTCTCAATTTTTTGGATATGTACCTTTGTTGCCTCTATATTTTTGCATTTTCCCAAAAGTAACTATCACAAGTCTGAAAGTCAGAACTGCTTCCACGTCTTGCTTCCAATATCTCATTTTTCTCTTTCTCTCTCATTTAGTCAGTGTTATGCTGGCTCCCTGTGCTCTGGATGGTTCCTGGAGTATTTTATAGATGTTTTTTCACAAAACCATCTATCTAATTCACCCCTTTTGCTTTCTTCTCGAAACACATGTAAAAACACACTGATCAAGAGTGCAATCTCTTCTTGGGTTTGGTAAAAGCATGTACTAGGCTGCACACATGTTGATGTAGACTTCTCTCTCACCCATTCATACGTTACCCCCTTGTCAGATGTGCAATGAGTTATCTAAGTTAAAAAAAATGCTACTGCTGCATTTATTGTAATGCAGTTCTATTTATTTATCTTTTTAAAAAGTAAAATGTCCTGTTCATCAACCCAAGCAATTATTTCCTTGTCTTTCCTTCCTTATCCAGGCCTCTTTCCATTAGAATTCTGTCTGAAAACTTTCTCCTCTGTTTCTTTTCTTTTTATCTGTGTGCTTTGGCAAAAGGACATTGTTCTAATCTTCTTGATTCTCTACTTTTCCCCTCAAATACAGGTCCATCTAACAACAGCTTCCATTTGTCTATGTTTTGGTTTGGGTATATGAATAAACTTGGTGGTGGTTTGTTTTAGTTTCATTTTGTTTTGTTTTTCTTTTCTTTCCAAACATATCCAGACATGAAAGGTGGATGTTTATCTCCAAAAACTTCAAGGATTGGTACACAGCCTGTAACAACTCTTATTCTTTCCTGGGCTCTAATTACCTGAAACAGAGGAAAACTGGAGTCCTGCAGGATGTGTTCCCTGAGGAAAGGAATTGCCTTTAGTGACAGCTGGGCAAATATCGATTTCTGACTCATAAGACACACGTTTAATTAAAAAAAAAGCAAAATCTTATTTGGAGAGAACACAACTTCTCAGACTTTCCTGCTGAATAAAAATGCTGAAACTTCTGCCCAGAATTCTAAAATCACCTTCAGAGGTTTTATAGTTCCACTTGGAGTCTTCACAGATACATTTATTTGTATATATTCTCTTGTAAATCCTTACACAGAGAAAAGAATTTACAGAAGGCCTTGAAAATGCCTCACTTATGCTGGAAACCAAAAAATTGCTACTCTGATAGGTAACAAAGAAACAACAGTAACTTCATGTTTAATATGGAAAATATGCTTGAATTAATATGAACTCTACTCTGTACTCCAGAGCTTGTGTATGTTCTGGGCCTAAATATCTTCTTGTTCTTCTGTACATAATATTGGAATATTTAAAAGAAACAGGACTGTTCCAAATCAATTTGAAACTTCTTTAGAAAACTGTTTTGAAGCTGGGATATTGCCTCTTACTATTACAAAACTAGGACTCTTCTCTAAAAATGAGACCAAAATGTTCTTCCTACTGTATGTATCCTGGTGTATAAATGCATCCAAAATGACTTAAGCATGTTTCAGTACACATAGCTCAGCATACCTAATCCAAGATTTAATGTATCTGCTACTTAAAAGCTCAAGTGTTTGCAATTATGTCTGAATCCTTTGAACAAGGGATCTGGCAGAAAATTCTCACTACTTATCCCAAATTAACATCACTGAACTCGTTTAAGTCATTTTGGCTTCATACTGGAGACAACTGGGACAGAAGTTAGCCTAAAGTGCGATCTGATGCTGAGGCAATTTGAGAATGAACATGTCTCCTCACTGATGTCCTGATATCTGAAAAAGTAGATCAAGCTCTGAAGCAGTCTCTGTTCACTAATATACCCTGTTGCTTCATCTGGAACATGGTGTGCAGCGCAAACTCGGTCCAGAGAAAGCATTTTGATCTTATGAGTTGTTTTATATTATTTTAGGTTCTTACAGTAATACCTGATGCAATCAGTGCATATTATATTAATACATTATTAAAAATATATTATTATAATCAACACCTTCGTAACTAATTTTTTAATAAAAACACTGTTATAATATTTGGCCCTGCTCCACTGAGGGAAGAACTTTGTTACCAAAGTCAGTAGAAATAGGGTCACATACTTGGACAAGCTGCAGTGGTGGTAGGAAAAGCTAGAAACAGTAAACTATCTTGATTCTTACAAAGGACAAGGCTTTAAATTACTTTAAGAAGAAGTGATGATTAAAATCGGTTTGTAAGGATGAAGTCCAGATGCCTCTGAAGTCATAAGGTCTTAAGTTTATTTTTTTCTTACTGACTTCAGAAGAGAAGGAAATCCCAAGTAGAAGAGCTTTCAAATAGACAGTAAATTAGCTACTGAAGTGGAACAAGGACTAACCATACATCAACAGAAATTACTTGAGCACAGAGTCTCCATCTAGATTAGAGAAGGGCTCAGCTAAGAAAGCCAAGAGAATTAAAGACTGAAGAGATGGACAAAGACCAGACAGATAGTGGAATAAAATGTAATCAGATATATTTCTTATGTTAGAAAAAATAGGACAATATCTTTACCTGGTGTAGTTAGCATAGCAGCACTGAACTAACTGTGCTGCATGACTGTATGCAGCAGTAGAAGTTGGTCCTTGTGACTTTACTCAAACTCTTATACTTGCATTGGAAGTATAATGTATTCTTTCAGTGCCAGAGTTGCTGTGCAAAGGCAATATTAAATTTCACAAAGTAGTTCATTTCCAGGCAATCTAGTAAATGAATGTTTAATGAACATATGGGTTTTTAAAATAAGGAATATTTCTAAGTGATAGAAGTTCCTTGATCCAGCTTCTTCTTAAATGGTTTATTTTTATAATAACAAAGTGGAAAGTAACGAATTACAGTAAACTTTTTACCATTCTCAGGTCTTTATTATAGCAAAGAATCTCTAGGATACAAGATGCATCCAACATTCAGATCTTCAGTTGTTTGGGCCAAACAGGTGGGTAAGACCAACTTTGCTCTTTCCTCACTAGCAGCTCATACATCCTGCACCATATTTTACTCTTCTCCTTTCTCGTATTCCTCTTACACCCAAATTCTTCAGATGGTGGTCTTGTTTTTCCAGGCTCATGGGTGGGCTCTACACTGCTACCTTCCAGTTTCTTGATGACTGCATTAACAGTCCTCAAGAAGCCTGGTTCTTCCTATAACTCTTCTTTCAAATCTGTGGGGAAAAAGCTAATGTGATAAACCAACAAATTATCATAGTAAAGGATGAGTGACCTTACAGAACAAATTCTGGCTTTTCTGCAAGCTTCAGAGCCTCATGCATCCCTGCAGCTGACAGTTTCCGGTTGATATTCCTGTATCTGCACTGCAGGAGGTTGCGATAAGTTGTCCTCAAGTCTCGATTGAAGAAGGCATATATAAAAGGGTTAATGAGAGAGTTTGCATAGCCCAACCATAGAAATGTTCTCTCAACCCAGAGTGGGATACAGCTGCATGACGTCCCGCAGATGAAGGGCCTTGCAGTTGAGAGGAGGAAAAAGGGCAGCCAGCAGACAGTGAAAGCCCCAACAATAATCCCAAGGGTAGTGGCAGCTTTCTGTTCTCTTTTAAAGATGGAAATGTTTTTCTTGTCATGCTTTAGGAGTCGTGAAAAATTAGCACATTCTTCAGATTCCTTGTGCAGTTTTACAACTCCATTCATAGAAATCCCTTCCGTTTCTTCCAGACGGGGAAAACCAGTAAACTTGTGTTTAGCAGCACTCCTCTTGGCAGCTTTGTAAATCTGATAGTACATGAAAAGCATCACTGACATGGGGATATAAAATGCAACTGCTGTGGAGTAAATGGTGTAGCCGAAGTCTTGACTGATCAGACAAACCTTTTCGTCATTTACATTTTGGGCCCAACCGAAGAGCGGGGGTATAGTGATGGAGGCAGATAAAAGCCATACACACAGGATCATTTTGGCCATACACTTCCCATTCTGCCTTACAGGGTACGTAAGAGGTCTTGTTATTCCCAGGTACCTAGAACAATAATGTAGAGTTACTATATTGTGCAGGGGTTAACTGTTAAAATTAATGTAGTCTGCTCTAAGCCAAAATCTTTCGCTAAGTTTTCTATTTTATATTTTTCAATCCTCTCTTTGCATGTATTTCCAACTTGTAAATTCATTTGTCTTTCATGTTAAAATTTATAGTGTTGATATTTATATAAAAGGTCTTTTATTTCAGAAAGAAATCTCCTGTTGGCCCTAATGGGCTGTGATTTTAACCAATTTGTACAATCTTCATGCAGATAACTCTTTTTTTTTTTGGCTTTTAAGGCAATTCTGAAACCTAAATTTAAATTTGCTAACTTATGAAATCTTGGAATATAGATGAATGCTCAGTCCATAAAGCGTACCACTTTTTGTATTGAGCGAATGGTTAAATTATAACAAGCAAACATTCATCTCCATTCTTCTTACATATTCAACAGTTAGGAAGATTCCTGCCACTAAGCTGAGACAATCAGTTGTCTTTCTTACCTTCATGTTTCAGACAGGAACAACCAACTGCAAACTTACACCAAGAGTAGATTATTTCAATATTACAAAATTCTTTTTATCATCATTTAATTAGAAAGAAACTATATTTATTCAGTGTCCAAACTTCTACCAAACAAAATGAAAATCTATCACAGTTCAAGAAGACCTGGGGAAGAAAACACAATTTTACAGACAAGAAAAATATTTTTAATGTGTCAGTTTTTTCATAGAAAAAAAATTAGTCTGTTGTAAATATCTATATTTCCTATTTGCAGTATCTTAAACTATGAATAAATTTCTAATTAAAAAAATATGATTATGGCTCTATATAGCTGGATAATAATATCCTAAGTTTGAATTTACTCTAAACTACAGAGAGTTTCCTCTCTAGCTACGGGAATTTTCTCTTGGATGAAATTAGATGCTTTTTTTTAACATCTAACATTTTTAGTTTCAAATTTGTTTCTGCTCAGTTGAAACTTACCGGTGAGTTACCACTAACTTCTCAAATTGTTCTTTTTTACTTCTTCCAAAAGGAAGAATTTTGAGAAAATCAGTGTGATTTGCTTTGTTACTTGTAAAAGAAATGGTTTCAAATCAGGTTTCAGAATAATGTTTTGGTTTCAAGAGTTACCAGTGTTTACTCAGACAGTGAGGGTTCTGGAGGGCTACAAACAAGAAATATAATAATGGGATTAAAAATATTTTTGGGGAGCATATTTTCTCTCTCTGTTCACTTAGCAAATCAAATATGAGATTTGTCTGGCTCTGGGGAATGCTGCATTGTTGATTTTACTGCAATGCAGTAAATTATGGCTGGTGCTCTTGCTTTGCACAAGCACCTAGGTATGCTAGTTATGGAAGTAAAAAAAAAGCGTCATTTAATGATCTGTTCTGATGAGTAACAACAATTCTTAGCAATGTCATTGATTTTATATTGCTGTTATGATGACTGTTGCACAAAGGACAGACCAGTTTACTGTGCCCTACTCTCAACAGGATGCACAAGCATTTTGCCAGTGAATCTGTGCCTGGAGCTAAGAACTGTTATTAGAATTGTCTGGGATTAATGGAGTGCAATCCATGGACCATGATATTAAACAAGGCTGCTTCTTGTGCCCCTCACCATCAGCATCACAATATAGTCACTGCTCAGCTCCAGCAGCTGTGGGCAAACTGCAGAGACCATGGACTTCTCTGTTTTACAGCAGCATGGCCAAAACCATTTGCACTCCCAAGGAGCCGAGAGTTTTTCAAGGTGCTCCAAGATATGGAAGAGCAGAGTTAGTGCAGTTTAACTACCTAAGGGATAGATTACAGTGCTTTAAACAATTTAACAGCAGCAAGGGTGAGTTATTAGATGCAGCCTTTCTGGGATGAGTGGCACACCCTTAAAATTTGTCCAAGAATAACACAGTTTAGCTGCAAAACAGTCAAATGCATCCTTTGTGCAGAAAGACTACTTGCTGTTTATAATCTGTTGTTTTCAAAAAATCTTTTAAAAGTTGGTCTGAAGTATGCTTTTTTCTAGCTATTACCCAATTGGTCACTAAAAATAACACACTTCTGAGGTGCACTTCATTATGTAGCTAAAAAAGTTAAGCTGGATTTCTGTAAAAATCAGATCTGTGGGCTGCATGCTCTGAGTGCCTACTGATGCATTCTCATACACCAGAATATAACAAAAAGAATTCATGAAAGCATAAGTATACTGAAAAGAATTAAAATTCATTAGTTTTGCCCTGGCACCAATTTTTTTGGAGTCTATCTGAGCTTCAGAAATGCTATTTGAAATTAAAATATATTAATTAACATAAAAATATACCAGTATCCTTTCTGCCTTATTTTTTTTGCTAAATGTAGTATGATAGGGGAAAAGAAGTCACCAGGCACAAATGAAGGAATGTTATCTTTTAATCTCTCTATATGAAATCCATTACCCTTGAAAACTTATTTGCAACTCCAAAATAATGTAAATCACTAGTGTTGTCTATACTGAAGAGTGTCCAGGACTTATAGATTCATGAACTTCAAAAACATTGTGTCAAAATAAGTGTAAAAATATGCTTTGTAATGCTTAATCTGTAATCACTACCCTGAAAAAAACCCTGAAGGCAAATCAGCTGAACTTAACATATTTGAAAATATGTAACACCTTGAGGTCTTATTGCTGGCAAAGAATGAAATCAAAGTCCCTAAAAAGCCCATTTCATATATCTCAGCTATCCCCCACATGAAAGAAATGTCTCAGACTTGTTATTCTGAGATTTGTTTCTCTTACACGCCACAGATGTTCATTTTGATCTTGGCGAAGAAACTGTGCCTCAGTTCTCATTTGTATGAGAAGGGCAATGCTATTTTCTGAATTTCATGACTACATGGTTCTGCCAGACAGGGCATATTACACCCAGCACAGTGAGGTCTGTGTCTAGGTAACTCCCCAAAAGCACAGTACTACAGATGAAACAGCCTTTATATTTCTTATAAACTGGTCATGGCATTTCTCATTCAGCACTACCTTATGCTGTATGCAGAACACTGAGGTGCAGGAGGCTGTACCAGTTGGGCAACCCTACAAGAGGCACAAGACATACAGCAGTCACGTCCTGCTGCTATTCCAAGGGTGCTGGGTGAGTGAGAACAGTGAGAAGGAAGAATCTGGCTATTAGACTAGTGTCTAACAGATACAACAAAAAAAGATGATGAGAACCTTTTTTCTGCTACATCACTGAAATCTGGAAAACAGCCCCTTGCTCAAATACCAGACAGCATAGACCAAAAAAGTGGCACATGGTGAAGGACAGAGTAAACTTCTTTTTAAATGTGTGTAAATGCATGAGCACATCCCCATTCTGGGTTTGTTTCTTGTTACTTCTTCAGTGTCTCTTCTTCCCTGTAGGAGGACTGGAAACTGGTTCCTTTGCTGCAGTGTCATTCAACTCCAGAGAGGCAAAATTCCCCTGCACCATCCTTTCCGGAGCTCTGTTCAAACATGGGAGGGGGAGGGTAAAGAACTCCGTCCTTTGTTGGGGTGCTATTGTCAGCTATTGTATAAAATTGCCATTTGCCACATTCACACAATGAACACCAGCAATGGAAAAGGTAAATGAACAAGTTCTTTCCTTTTGCTTTATAAAATTCTGGCTCTCTCTAATCCAGTATTCTTTCCCAATATCTCTGAATTGTTACCATATAATGACAGGCAATTGTTACAGACAATTTAATGTAAAACCATTATAACTACATTGGACTGCTCCTGAGATCATTCAGTTTGTGTTTTTTTTCATTCTGGCTTTTCTGATACTGATGCATTACAATGGCCACACAGAATAGATTTTATTCTACAGGGCTAAAAAAAGTCTCCATTGTCACTTGAACTGTAGATTGCACAGGCAGTTCTTACTACAGTGTGCTCTATATATTAAATGCTACAGTATGCATTAAGATGTAACACATACAGATAATAGATTGCTATATAATTTATCTCCCTGTGATTCTTTATATTGCCTCTTCCTGTCTTCATTTGTCTTAGTTATTTGCTCGTTGTGATGGCTGTGGCACCTTGGTACCTTACAGCTTGCACAGTGATTATCAGACTGGAAGCTGGACTGCCACCATGACTCACTAGAGGTAAATATAAACATGAAGGTGCAATACAGTTTCTTTTCTTGTGAATATATTTATTTCATTCTCTAATCTAGGAAATTGTGAAAAGTAGTTTGCTTTATCTGTCCAACAGTGGAGCGAATTCACACAGCCATCTACTTATCATCCACTAGAATAACTTTCAGGAAGATCTTTCTCAGCACCTGCATATTAATAACCTCAATTTGTGGCTGAATTGATTAGTAATTCTCTAGATGTAGAAGATATCAATTTTTCCTCCAGGAAGTAAAAATCAGGAGTATCAGGCATTGCAGCATTTCAAGTAAACCAGGCATGAATTTTTTGTCTGTATGTGTGTGGTGTGAACCTGATTGTTTTTTCAGCAGTAGAAAAATTAATTTCCTTTTCTTTGTGGTTGTCATGGTTTAACCCCAGCCAGCAGCCAAGCCCCACGCAGCCCCTCACTCACTCCCCCACCAGTGAGATCAGGTAGAGAACTGGAAGGGTAAAAGCTGGAAAACTCATGGATTAAGATAAAGACAGCTTAATAGGGAAAGCAAAAGCTGCATGCAGAAGCAAAGCAACATGAGGAATTGATTCACTGCTTCCCATGGGCAGACAGGTATTCAGCCATGTCCAGGAGAGCAGGGCCCCATCACAGGTAGCAGTTCTTTGGGAAGACAAACCATCACTCCAAATTCCCTCCTTTTCTCCTTCTTTCCCCCACTTAATATATCAAGCATGATGTCATTTCCCTGATCAGTTTGTATACTTTATTCTACTTAAAAGCAAGTCTGAGGGACAGAGCATCTCTTGCATTGTGTAAACACATCATCTTTGAAGAGAAGAGAACAATTTCTGTTAGGTGTTTTGACATAGCCATAACAGAAA